ACAGATGCAGTGGATCATTTATGCTTGTATACATTACTTACCCTATAGTGGAGACAGGTAAACCATGATCCATCCCTCCTTTGAAGTTATTATTAGCTGAAGACTCCATTCGTGATTAGAATGGTGCTCTGGCAACTAACATAGGTGTGAAGCAGACATCTTCTCCTCTTTGCTATCCATGTATGTTAATGCAGTCCATTGCAATAATCTTGGTGTGGACAGGGGGTTAGCCATTGCAACAAGAGTTCCACCTGGCCATTCCCTGCTACTAGCAATGGCAGATTATCCTACAGCAGATAGCAGGAAGATGGCTTGGGACCACTGGTGTTCCCTGGACTATAGTTTCAGAAAAACACATGCAAATGAATGTGATATACATCCTTTACCCGCTCTCTTCATCTCCTAATATGTTATATTCAATTGAAAGTTGAAGTGACCTGAGTTGATTTGAACAGCTCCTGGAAGTAGGTCTAGAGTAAAGCAGACTACACATACGGTAAGAGAAGTCTTTTCATCCTTGATACAAAGTTATCAAACCTTCTGCCCCCTTTTCTCATAATTTAAAGTGACACTAAACTCAGGAGTTAAATCTTAAAATGCATTCAAGTACCCTAACTATTAACAATAATGTATCTTATTTGTGTATCACTCAGCTGTAGATCCTCAAATCATCTCTGAATTGGTGCTGATGCTGTCCTTCCTTCTGGAGGGTGGCTACTTTTGTTCCCCATGGGCCCTGTGTGTGTTGTAAAGTAGCCTTCGCTTCAAGCTCACTGCTGTGATAGACTATAACTTCAATACAAATTAGCTAACTATATGGGAGATTGCAGTCCATCATGGAAGCAAGCTTGGAGTGGTGGCTACTTTCCAACACACTCAGGGACCATGGGTAACAAAAGTAGCCACCCTCCAGAAGGAAGAACAGTGTCAGCATGAATTCAGAGATGCTTTTAGGATCTACAGCTGAGTGATACACACATAAGCTAAATTTTTGTTAATAGAAAAGGTACTTGAATGCATTTGTAAGATTTAACTCCTGAGTTAAATGTCAATTTAAGCAATTTACTTCTGAAAGGTTCACTTGCTTTAATTTGGGACAAGGGAATAACTCTTATTTTTCTTTAGAGACTTTCCAGCATGACCAATATGCTGTTACTCTTCTTTTAAACCTTCCATGGACTGATTTTGTCTCTTTCTGCTCTGATTTTAGAATGGCCTGTGAAAATAGGGCTGTGTGCATGTAGGGTTACAGGAATACATTTACAGTAAATATAATTTAACAGTATGGGTGTCCTCTACTGGTCTTACTGTAGATTAGCACCATTCCAGGAAAGCACCCATTGGCTATAAGATTAAAGCCAGTTCATTTAGCTTGTGTTACTGCTTATTTTTTATTTGGAGCAATATCAATAAAAATTCCCTGGGTGGGAGTTATAAACCTGCTACAAATCTGCCCTCTCTATTCATTTGGATACAAAAGCTCTTGAGAAATTGGTTCATTCGGGAACAGTAACTTTGATCTGGGTGTCTTTGAATTAACAGAGCAATTAAGCAGATTTTGTTCAAAGCACAAACTCATTGGCTGGTGTTTTACACTGATGTGATAATGTTTACACAGATGTGCTTTGAAATGACGACTATGCTGCACTGCAGATCCCACCACATGACAGAATCCTGTCATTTACAAGGTAAATAATGTAACATATACCTGCTACAATTATTTCAGTGATGACCTGGAACTTTTCGAGGGGCGGTCAATCTGTTTACAGCTTTGCTGCTCAGTAGTACAGTCACACAGGGAATGGGCGGAGGGGGCACTTTTGTGCACTATTCAACATTGAAAGCTTGGAAAGGTGAACATTACCTGCTCTAAAACATCAGGCAGTGAATTATTACAGACTACTCCATACACAATGGGAATTCAGGTCTATTTGATCTCTCTGATCTAACAGAACACTTTCTTCACTTTTCCTATGGCATTGTGGACTCTAGATAGGTAATGGATTACATGGACAGTGTAGAGAGACAGAGATCCAAATCAAGTAGCGAGGAAGACATGGAAATAGAGAGTGGGAAAGAGAAGTTGGCATGACTGAAGTGAACACAGGTTTGCAAGGTAACAGTCTCCATTCCTATAGTACAAATAGCTGATTGAGATAGTTAAGCTGTCCATACACCTATAGATTATCTGCAGATTTTCTATGGTCAGATGGAAAAAGTGCAACAGACTGTGTGGATGGAGGAATCTCCCACTGGGCCAAACTTCAGTATCTTGCTAGTCGGCACCACTGGCTCTGAAAATACCTGAACAATCTGATTGGATGCAGGCATTGTTCAGGTGTTTTGAGAGCCAGCGGGGCCGACTAGCAAGATACTGAAGCTTGGCCCAGCGGGAGTTTCCTCTATCCACACAGGTTAGTGTAGATGGAGGAATCGCTTGCACTTTTTCCATCTGACCATAGGCTGATAGAAAAAAATGTATAGGAAATCTATAGGTGTATGGCTAGCTTTAGGAAGAGTTAGATTGAAGTAGTGACATGGGAACTAAAGACCTAAATGATTGATCGGATTGTACAATCTCCTTTAGACCTATCATCAGGTTTGTAGTGCAAGGGCGTGCCTAATTTAATATAAACGGTAGAGATGCACCGATACCGATACTAGTATCGGTGCTGATACTGAGTATTTGGGCGAGTACTCCCCCAAATGCTCTGATGCCTAGCCCGATACCGGAACTTGCGGTATCAGGAAGCCGGGCAGCGCGTCATTACACGCTGCCCGGCTTCCTGATTGCCCAGGAAGCTGGCAGCATGCTCCCTCGTCACTTGGTGAGAAGGGAGCATGGAGCTAGCTTCCCGGCCAATCAGGAAGCCAGGCAGCGTGTAATGACTCACCGCCTAGTTTACTGATTGGTTGGGGAACTGGCCAATCAGGAAAATGGACGGAGAGTCATTACCCACCCCCTGGCGTCCTGCTTGGCCAGAAAGCCAGCTTCAGGCTCCCACGTCACCTGGGGAAGAGGGAGCATGGAGCTGGCTGCCTGGCCAATCAGGAAGCCGGGCACCATGTAATGACTCGCTGCCTGGCTTCCTAATTGGTTGATAAGCTGGCCAATCAGGAAGCCAGGTGGTGAGTCATTACCTGCCCCCGGCTTCCTGATTGGCGGGGAAGCCAGCTCCATGCTTCCTCGTCACCTGCTAATCGGGAAGCTGGGTGGCGAGTCTTTACATGCTGCCCGGCTTTCCAGCTAATCAGGAAGCCAAGTGGCGAGTCATTAAATTCCGCCTAGCTTTCTTAATGGGACTTCTGGTATCGGTATTCGGTATCGGCGAGTACCGCAAAAAAATATCGGTACTCGTACTCAATACCAAGTATGTAGCACAAGGGTCTTCTTGAATTCACAGAAGTGAAGAAGGAAGAAAGGAAGGAAGGAAGGAAGAAAGAAAGAAAGAAAGAAAGAAAGAAAGAAAGAAAGAAAGAAAGAAAGAAAGAAAGAAAGAAAAAGGAGGAAGGAAGGAAATAAGGAAGGAAGGAAGAAAATGGAGGGAGTGAGGGGGGAAAGAAAGAAAAGAAAAGAAGGTAAAGAAAGGAAGGAAGGAAGGAAGGAAGGAAGGAAGGAAGGAAGGAGAAGAAAGATACGGGGTTGGAATATCAAGCCATGTATATAAAGAGAGAAGCAGATCAGTCATTTCACGTGGTTGGATTTAGACATTGAAGTCGAGGTATACAGGTATACAGTACATATGACATTCCATATTCACAGATCAAAGCATCCGATACTGATACAGAGGATGTTATTTGTTCCATCTCACAATATAAAGAATTTTACTTTCAGGGTGTATACAAGGTGTGAAATGTTATTTAATCCCCCACTCATAACAATAATACATTATGGCACTTTGCAAGTTTTATCAATCACACGTTTCCAGACTTTGATACTATGTTGTCGTGTTATGAAAGTGCTAAACTTCTACAAATAGGACTTCTTGTCCTTTGTGAGCGCTAACAGTGACATTTCAATGACAATAATGTGTTACAACTTCAAAGCAGCAGGTGAGAGATTATTGTAGTCGGGGAACATTTCATTTCTCATACACTGCACTGGGCATTGTTATATAAAATGAATACACAACATATTGATAGGATGATCATCCATAGCATGTACATACATAGTTGTATTGGTCCATCCTAAAATATATGGCTTCAAGGGATGGCTGATGACACATGTAACAGTTCAGACACAGAGCACCTTGCAGTCATCAGAGGTGAAAACTACGTGTGTTTTATTGGTGCTTTACAAGCAAGAGGCATTCCTGTTGTTGGAGGTTTTTCTTTTGTATGCCTGGGAGTCTGGGAAGGTCTACAGGGAGGGAGCCGCCCCTCTACCAGTCTACCTTTCCTTGCACCTGTCCAGGCAATGTGTTAGTAGGAGCTCCTGCCTGTAGGATCACACTACATGGTAGGATCACACTGCTCTCTCCTGCTGCCGGCCCCTACTTCTAGCTATCTCTCTGTGTCCTTCTCCAGCATCTGATCTGCGGATCCCAGCTAGAGATTAACACCTCTTCATTCTTCAGGTGACCGATCTCCTGCAAGCATCTCTGGCTGACACACCACCCCAAGCCCCAACATGTCCTTTGGGCTCAGTCTGGAGGATCTGCGTGGAAATGTGGATTATGGTGATCATGGCTGTGATTAACATTGCATGTGAATGGGCCTGTATTGGGAAGAGACGCTTTGCACATAGAGATCCCTGAGAGGTTTGAACTGAGAGCTTTTGAGACTCACCTTCCGACAGTGGTCTTCATTACCATATGTCAACTTGGCCAATATACAAACTTTCTCTACATATAGCAGTCAGGTCTGCCCAGTTCTACACTACAGACGCCTGCAGGATTGCAGTAGGTGCTGCTGCTGCTGGCACAGCCTGCGCTCTGATCAGGACATACCAGGCAAGTTTGCCCCCTGTCATTGCCACCCTTTACCTGGACTTCTTACACATGGCTCCTTTACCGGAGGTGGGGAGCTATCTGGCCGGGCTGGACACTCTGGGACAAGTTGGCTCTCACTTCTTGTTGCCCCCTGCCAGGGAGAGCCCTCTGCTGTTCAACGACCCCATGGCACAACCTGATCGGCTGTCCCGCAGCGCTCCCTCGGACCTGGCGCACCTCCAAGGCATCCTGCGCCGCCGCCAACTCTACTGCAGGACTGGCTTCCACCTGCAGATCCTGCCCGATGGCAACGTCTTGGGTACCCGGCAGGATCACAACCGCTTCGGTAGGTACACACCAGAGTATCTCCGAGGAGCTGGGGGGATTAGAATCACTAATTGGCTCCTATCTCTGCACTAATGTGTGGACAGTGAGGATTTACTGCACTTTACACCCGATTAGACCATCCACAGATTAGAAGGCAGGTGTCTTTCTAGACAAATAGTAAAGTTCATCCATTGCTGCAGAGTTCTCATGGGTACATGCGATGTCCTCTTTCCCATATTCCTTATTACAGCAAACAAGTGCTGCTCTATCTAATTCACATGATGTACCCTATCATGATCTTCACAAATTCATTCTTTGTCGTTTGTGCCAACTTGCTGTCATTTATATAACTATTGGATAGATAAATATTATGACACTAACCACTAAATAATAAGAAGCAATTATATATTTTATTGTTGCCAATGTGTAATTGTTCATATGATCAGTATATTTTCTATATATATATATATATTTAAGATTTGGTGGCATCTTGAATTGTTGACATATATATCTGCATTCCTTTAAAAACTAATTTTACCTTGAAGTGCCTACCTGTACTGTACAGTGCACATTTAGCAAGAGGGTAATCTTATTGCCTATAACACCCTCCTGATCTTGAACAGAAGAAATATGTAGAAATGTAATTCTTGCAGCACACAGCAGTCAATATGTACAGCCCGAGGACAGGTAGAGAGCTTGGAGGGATGTCATAGATCGTGATTTTTATTGTGTTCACAAATTCAGTTTTTGTAGTTTGTTTCAACCTGCTCTCATGTATATGCCTATAGGATATATAAATATAATGAATCTTAGGATTAAATAATAAGTGCCAATGATTTTTATTATTGAATAATATGCTGCACTCCTTTAGAAACTCATTTTGCCTTGAAGTACTATACTGATCTATATACTGTACAGTGCACATTTAGCAGGAGGGTATTCTTGATGGCCATCACGTCCTCTTGATCTGGAACAGAAGAACTGTGTAGAAATGTAATTCTTGCTGCACATAGCTATTAATATGTACAACTTCCAGGGACAGGCAGAGACGTTGGAGGGTTGTCCCAGAAATGGTTTGCCTCTGGGAATGGCCCAGTTTTTGAACTTTGATAAAACATTCTACACAACTCCAGTTATAATGTATGTTGCATTCAGTTTTAAAGTATTCCTAAAGTATTGTCTCTCTAAAGCAGTATCTAATATGTTTTATAATCCAGTTTACTGAATCAGACTTTCCAGGGTAGTTGCATCTCTCTGAGACATCTGGGGTATTTTAGTTACATGTCTTTAGTTTTAAAGTGTTCTCTAATATTAGAATGTAAGACATGTAAAATGTAACCATGGATGTGGCTACTTTGCTGAGTAGACTTGGTTGTTGTAGAATTTGCAGGTTGCATGTTCTGTACTTGGAGTTTCTGGAATGCCTGTAGCAGACAATATGGTAGATATGTAGTGAGCACTCTTGCCTGGGTTTGATTTCCACTTGGCACCCCATCTGCATGGACTTTGTATGTTCTCCTTGTGTTCTCCCAAAACGTTCTGATTCTATCTAAATTTCCCCCTCGGTCATGTTTTGTCCTAACTCTGTGATGAAAAAAGAATATAAGACTGGAATCTGAGCCTGCAACCTGGCCCTGTAGAACCTTACAACTAGTATAGAAACAATTGCATTGCACCTGATATCAAAGCAATTGAATTTCTGCCTGATGTGCCCAGTAGGACAGATAGGTTCTAACTACTGCAAATTACCATATTAATAAAAGGCACATCAGAAGTCCCCTTCCCACAATCGAACGCTTGCCTTTGTATCCATCTATCTTCCATTGACTGTAGGTATGTACAGTAACTGGCAGCACACAGCACAGACCTATACACCTCTCATACCCAGAACGGGCAAGGATGGAAACACTTATCTGACAGGAAGAGTGAATAATGATTGAGATATTTATTCACCTCTCTTTTATCTGAACAGACTAGCTATTGTTGATAACAACCCACCTCCCACCATCATATTGATTTAGCTGCTGTAAAGCTGATTAAAATGCTTTCTATCACTTTCCCATACCCAAGGCAATACATATTAATTAATTTGAGCTTCTTTGATGCTGCCGAGTATTGGGTTTAATTAATCTTGCAAAATTTACAAACTTTTTATAGTGAAAGCTAAATTGTTGTGCCAGTTTATTACTGTGCACAACACCATTTCGATCAAGTGAGAAAACTATTGTATTGGATGTACACAGGAATCATTTTCCTAAGTTTAAATATCAGGCAGAGATCAAATATTTGCTGTGGTTCTTTTATACGGAGCTCCCTTTCATACTGCCCCTATTCTAAGCTGAACTTCCTCTGATGTGGTCTCTCACCGGTTGACTCACCTGCTTGTTGTGATTTTTTTTTTTTTTTTAAGACGTGCTTTGAAAAAGATAGCACAATAAAGACAAAATACCACCATCATTTTCATGGGGAATGAGTCCACTTTCTGGGTCTTTATAGAAAATAAGCTGCATGCTGTTATGTTATCTTGGAGTTTTCTATCACATGAGCTTCCTCTCATTATGTATGGACTGAAGATTTTGGTTCAGGCTGGATGATGAAATCTATTTCTTGCAAATTAACTTACAATGTTGTTTTCCTTTTTACAGGCATTCTAGAGTTTATCAGCGTTGCTATTGGCCTGGTGAGCATTAGAGGAGTGGACAGCGGCCTCTACCTGGGGATGAATGATAAGGGGGAACTCTTTGGATCTGTAAGTATATATTTTACTTATATTTAAACATAAAGTGACACTAAACCCAGGAGTTAAATCTTAAAAATGCATTTAAATACCTTAACTAAACAAAAATGTATCTTATTTGTGTATTACTTGGCTGTAGATCCTCAAATCATCTCTGAATTCATGCTGACACTGTCTTTCCTTCTGGAGGGTTGCTACTTTTGTTCCCCCTGGTCCCTGTGTGTGTTGTAAAGTAGCCACTGCTCAAAGCTCACTCCTGTGATAGACTACAATCTCAATACACATTAGTAAACTAAACGTGAGCTTGTAGTCGATCATGGGAGAGAGCTTGGAGCGGTGACTACTTTACAACACACACAGGGACCATGGGGAACAGAAGTAGTCACCCTCCAGAAGGAAGGACAGTGTCAGCATGAATTCAGAGATGATTTGATGAGTGATACCAAAATAATACATTTTTGTTAATACTTAGTGTTCTTGAATGCATTTTTAACAGTGTAGTGTCACATTTTACAAGGCTCATGAGCTTATGAAATAAGGTTGGGCAAAATACTAGTCTAAACTAGGCAAGATTTATCTTTCAGGTTAACTGTAATATGATTGTTGCTCTGGGAAATGCACTTTGCATATAATCATTGTTCTCAGTGTTTTTTTAGGGTGGCAATAAATCAGCCAACCCTGCTTCAAATTTAATAGGTAGTGTGCCCATCATGCAAAGATCGAAGATGGAAGTGCTTGGTATTGTACACATAGATTTTTCAGCTTGCTGGGAAACTTTGCTTGTTGGGATTGATCATTTACTATTCTCACGGAGAAAGGGACAGGACGATCCAAGGGTCAGCTTGTGTCACCCTGTTAAAGTCACATAAGCCCCGTTTCACACCTGAACTTTTTTTGCCACGTTTACTGATACACGACAATACTCAGCATGAAAAATCTCTTTATCATTAATGGCGTTGTGTTACTTGTTGGTTGAAAAAGTACCCAAGCTTCTTTTTGGGCAGAAAGCTGCCTTTTTATCTCCATAAACTTCAATGGGGGTGCCTGAAAAGTGCCCAACAAAATGTGTAACGTGTGTTTTTCTTATGATGTTGGCCCTGACAGCCATCTCCTCTTCTTAGTTTTCCATTGGCTACAAACTTAAATGCTCAAGCCAGAAAACGCCTGAGAAATGCACAAAAAAAGCACAAAAAAGCTTCAAATTTGGTGGAAAATGCTCACACTCAAGTGTGAATGGGAAGGAATGTGCCACAAACAATGGAGTGCCTGAGCATGAAAGAGTTCACTAATAAAGTTAAAGTACCTTGTTTACACCTAGTCTGCCATAGTCTGGATGGTAACAATGTAATACTTTAAAGAGTCTCTAAAGCCCAAACTTTTTTTAGCTTTGGATAGTGGCGAGGTGTTAGAAACCCTGCATGTTGTTATTGCTAGGCACCTGCTAGGGAAATGCACTCTGTTTGTTTGTCTTGGTGACCCCCATCACATTTTAAGTTGTCACCAGAACATGAATAGACGGAGACTTGCTCTGGTGAAAGCTGTCTAAGAAGACTTTTTCCCCCACTTTGAAGATCTTTCCTATCACTTCCTGTTTTGTCTTTAGGATAGGAAGTGAAGTAAAATCATCCCAAATGGGATACAGATGGCAAAGAAACCTGACAGAGGTTTTAACTATTCCCTACTCTATCTAAAACAAGACTTGGCTTTAAATATACTTAAATTCTGACCAGGCAAGGACATTTTGAATAATTATTCACAGTGTCCAGACACAAAACAGTATTGAGAGTTTCAATACAGCATTCTGCAAACGTGTCAGTGATTTTGTACCGCAAACTTTTCACTGTTCATTACTTTCCAAAGGCCGCATGGATTTAAAAAGGAAAGACATTTCCATTTAGGTTTACTGTCCTCTAAGTAGTAACAAATAAAAAAGAAAATGTTTTTAGTTGTTGCTATTAAAGACGCACTTACAGTGGAAAGAAAATCAGTTGCACAGAAAGATGAAATACAGAACACTTTACAATTAACCCCATTATAAAAAGGTAATGAGACAAATGAACCTTAATTCTCTATGCCCTTTGAATGACAGCCTTATTCAAACAGATTGTTGGGCTTTAGCTTGTCCTGGTATTATATTCACCAGCGCTGAAACAACACATGAAAGAATAGGATATGGTTGAAGAAGAATTTCCCATGCTTTCAGCAAGGTTTCATACAATTGTACTGTTCTGATGTAGCATTGTATGTGGTGCCCACTGCTTACATATATTTTATAAATCTTTTTTTTCCCCCACTGTTGTAATTGTACAGTAATGGATCAATATTATCATTAGATTGGTAAATTGATCTGTTTCCTAAGAAGATTTATTAGTCAATGGAACTTTTTTTCTGCAGACAACAGTGGAAACAGTGGCACCTGCAGGCTGGATGTGGTACTGCACTTTATTTAAAAAAATGTTCTGAGAAATAAAAAGAATTCAAAAGATTTATGAATACAATGTCATTAAAAAATAAATGAATACCTTTGATAATCATGCCAGCAGTTTTGTAGTTTTTAGCAGCACAATAATTATCTAAAATATTTTTATAAATCCTGTATAAAAATAACAATAATAATAATATACAGTACTGTGCAAAAGTTTTAGGCAGGTGTGAAAAAATACCGTAAAGCAAGAATGCTTTCAGAAATAAAAGTGATAATAGTTTAATTTTTTATCAAATACCGAAATGGAAAGTAAAAGAACAGAAGAGAAATAGAAATCAAATCAATATTTGGTGTCACCACCCTTTGCCTTCAAAACCTCTTCTGTTAACACATTCTTCTAGGTACACTTGCACACAGCTTTTGAAGGACCTTGGCAGGTAGGTTGTTCCAAACATCTTGGAGAGCTAACCACCGATCTTCTGTAGATGTTGGCTGCTTCCAATCCTTCTGTCTCTTCATGTAATCCCAGACAGACTCGATGTTGAGATCAGGGCTCTGGTGGGAGACAAACCATCACTTCCAGGGCTCCTTGTTCTTCTTTTCGCTGAAGATAATTACATTGTCTGTATGTTTGGGGTAATTACCTGCTGCAGAGTAAATTGAGGCAACCACACACCCTGATGGTATGGCATGAGGGATAGGTATCTGCTTGTATATCTCATCATTGCGGACACCATTGATCCTGACCAAATCTCCAAATCTATTTGCAGAAATGCAGCTCCAGACTGGCAAGGAACCTCCACCATGCTTCACTGTTGCCTGCAGGCATTCAATATTGTACCGCTCTCCAGCCCTTCGGTGAACAAACTGCCTCCTGCTACAACCAAATATTTCACATTTGACTCATCAGTCCAGAACACCTGCTGACATTTTTCTGCACCCCAGTTCCTATGTGTTTGTGCATAGTTGAGTCGCTTAGCCTTGTTTCCACGTCGGAGGCATGGCTTTTTGGCCGCAAGGCCGCAGAAAAATGTCTGCAAGTGCTCTGCACAGATTAGTCAAAACTTTAAATATTTGGCTGTAGCAGAAGGCAGTTTGTTTGCGGAAGGGCTGGAGAATGGTGGAGGTTTAATTATAGTGTCAGTAAAATTTGTTTTAATAAACTTAAAATATTCATATATTAATGTTTGAATGTTCTATTTTTAACAGGAAAAATTAACTTCTGAATGCATTTTCCGCGAGCAATTTGAAGAAAACTGGTATAATACTTATTCATCAAATCTATATAAGCATGGAGAGTCTGGGAGGCGATACTTTGTAGCACTTAATAAAGATGGAACTCCTAGAGATGGAGCTCGAGCTAAAAGACATCAGAAATTCACACATTTTTTGCCTAGACCGGTGGACCCTGAGAAGGTACCTGAACTCTATAAGGATGTCATGGGATATAGCTGAAAATCCACACCCAGAATGATGGATATCTATGCCAAAGCAGGTCTTTTCTTAAGAAAAGTGAAGATGAAAGTATGTAAAAGACCTAGAGTCACTGACGACTTGGATGTGTGTGACCAAAGAATGTTGATGGCCATTGTAAAGACCTTCTACATTGTGGATGAGGATGCAGGAACTAGTGGATAAGACACAGAGCCAACATTCCTTTGCTGCTCGCTCGCGGAATCATGTGGTCTAACAGGAAAAAGCATTGGACTAGCTCATTGGCAGTTGGCATCACACGACACATTCTAAAACTGTAAATAATATACAATGGGTACATGGAAAAAAAACAATGCTGCCCCACATTGAGTGAGAACTTTAAAGTCATCTGTTTAAAAAACAAACTGCATTTTTAAAAAAAAAGCTAATTACTCCCAAGACTAATATTTCAGTTTTGGCTAGTTACTGACAGAGTGAATCATATGCTGGCTGGGAAACAATATGGCAAGATATCAGCAAGCAATTCAAAATGCCCCTCCATCTCATTACATAGGCAAATATTAACATCATCCATCTGGATTCTCCAAAAGAGAATAAACCCCACAGTCCTGTTGCAAGAGAGAGGCCATGTTTGTTATGTCCTTGTGGAGGGTCTACCGTAACGTACTGCTGTTAAGAAGTTTTGTTTTTGGGGTCTCTAAAAGATTCAGCAAACCAGCATTTAACCAACAGATGCCCACCCAAGCTTGCAATGTGAATTTTAAGTGGCATTGACCGTTAATTATATTTCCAGACTAGAATGCAGTTTACAGCCTGTGGACTAACTATGCATATATCTATAAATATATATTTATTTTTTATACTTATTTATTTTAAATTCTATTTTTTACTGTTTTGTCAATAGAAAGGTCCCACTATCGACTGATTAATGAAAGTCACTTTTGGAAGACATAACAATGGGTTTCTACCATAATAATGTTTAACATAGATCATATGATCAAAATAATTTGTATGCTGAAACAAAGTGAGGTTATTGGATTTACTTCAATGTATATGAATGGTGAAAATTGTAACAATCCCATTTCCCATTTACAAAGGTATTAAAAGACACATTGTAATGAAAAGGATTGGTCTTGTTTCAGTCTCTGGCAAGTCCTTCCGCCTTGGTATCTCAACCTGTTGATATTAAACATAGCTTAAATTACTTTTAATGCAACTGGAGAGGTTGCTACATCATTTCATGTATTGTGGTTTGTCATTCCAGGCAATGTTAAAGAACTTTTTTTTTGTCAATATCTTTCAGGAGATAAGGTTGTGCCTTGGCAGCACATTTGGTAGGTTGTCATATGGTTTGTTTTGGCAACAATATCAATCAAAAGGTACTCAACAAGTTTCCTTTTAACTAATGTACAGAGATATCAAAGCTGGTATAATGTGCCCTTACAGGGATCTTGATAATTGACAAAACATTTATAAAAACAGGTACAGTATCCTGTAGAAACTGACCAAATATTTGCTTTTATTTGCAAAACTGAACTATAAAAAGCACCACTAGAGATAGAGTGACTGCTTTGGTTCACATCAATATTTCAGGGGTATTGACTTCCACAGCTTTTCCTAAAATGTTTCTGAATTTATTATCAATTGTATTTTTTAGGGTTTTTATTTAAGACATCTTATATATGAACAAAAGGTTATATTAAATAAAACATGAAAATATTTATAAAGGGGTGTTCAGCTTGCACCTTCTATATCTGCTATTCCTGTTTCTATTAGATGCAGGCTCAAAGAAATAAGTACCTTTAACATAACCTGCCATCCATTTTAAACATTTAAAGTGTTTGCTTTAGATAAAAAATAAAAATCTTTATTAGCCAATAGAAAAATGTTCTCCTGTGCACCTCTCTGATTTAGTTTTACTTTGTTACTACAGACACAAGTGCCTAGATTTCTGTGCTAAGCCCCCATATCCACTGCACTGTTCCATAACATTACCCTTAATAGTGCTTTCACTGGATGGAAAATTAGTCCGTAAGCGAGGGAAGTAAAGCCTGTAGTATCGAAGTGAAACTAATTCAGAGAGGCACACAGAAGAGGGTTTATGGGTTCTCTGTAAAGTAAACCTATGAGAATAGATCACTGGGAGCTGCTATTGCTGACTTATTTTTAATTAAGCCACAGATGCTTTCTGAACCTGGTCTCTAGTGACTTAGGGATCTAGTGTAAAATATCGATGAATGGTCACTCGCACTCCAACTTGATGCAAAGTCAATAGTCAAAGTCAGTGGGACTTTCATGCAGAGCAGCAGAAAAAAGTATAAGGAAAAGCAAAAGTAATCAGTTTTGGCAGGTTGGCTTCATCAGAGCGGTGTGAGGCTGCCATGAAAAAGGACAGAAACCAATGTGGATGCCAGTAAAAAGGTCCGACCCAAAGACCCAACACAAAACTTATCTAGAGAAGTAACAAAACTTTTAGAACCTTGACAATTCCCATCAATGAATTGTATATATAGTAGTGTCAACAATACTACACTGATCAACCATGTTAGTTCATTACACACTTACTTTTTGTATAGATTTCACTCCTCAATACAAAAGCTACACCCTAAACACTAATTGAGGTAGATCATCACCCATTGTTGGTAAGTAACAAAAATGGTTAAGAAACAAGCAAAACTGATGGGGTCATGTACATTAGGAGAACACTTTGCCTGTAAACAATAAATCCATCTACCTTTATGCTAACTCCTCACTCACACGGGGTGCTGTGGGATTCCTGATACAGAAATCCAAGATTGCCCATTTAGTTGCGCTGTACCCATTCACATTAATGACCGGGTGATATCAACCGCATCTGTATGTGGCAGTCCGCATGTAATTGTATAAACGATACGATTACATGCGGTGTGGGATTAATCATTGTCGCTGGACGCAGTAGGATAGATGCGTCCAGAAGAGTGCTGCTTGCAGATGCGGCTACTGTTACCCAGTCATTAACTTGAAGGGGTACAGTGGCCGCATCTATACGGGACATCTGGGATTCCTGCCTTAGGAATCCATTGGTTCCTGCCACAGGAGTCCCAAATCTTCCAGTGTGAATGAGGTCTAAAGCAATATTTTATTGAAATCTCCAACTTGCAGGATGCATACTCTATACAAAGCACAGAAAGTAAGCTTGAGTGGTTTTTTTATGCTTAAACACCGCATGACGAGCTACAGGGCATCTTAAGTTTCCTAATGTTTCATCATAGAAATGATCCGATATATGTATTTTAAACAACCTTGTTGTTTTTCCAACAGAAAAGCAACCGCATTCACATTTGAATAAATATATTATTCCCTCTGTAGTGCAACTGGCAGAATAAGATGCCATGTGACTATTGGGTAGGACAATTAATGGAACTGTGTCAAGATATGGGCACACGGAACATGCTTCACATATCTAAGCACCTTTTTTTGCAACATAGTGATGAGATATAATGTTCATAGTGACTACCTAAGGATAAGGTGCAATGAAACATCCATCTGGGAACAGGAGCGAGCAGTTTAGAAGTCAACCCATCTTTTTGTAACCAATACCAGTATTTTCTCAAAATCCTTCATAAATCAGTATGTTGGTGGGAAAACGTAGTAATAATTCTCATTATACTGACCTCATTGGATTTGATTTAAAAATTTTATGGGGGGTTAGTCTGCCTGCAGTTGAACTTCAATAGTCCAGGAGTCTACCACCATTCTAACTTGTTTGTGGATGATGAAGGGAACCCTGCGTGGGCCCCCAAACGTTGTTTTTTGACAGTCTGCATCAATACAGAAGATGGATTATTGACACAAGACATAGGTGTGCTGGTGACATTTATCATATATTTAGGAGAACATGATACGCATAATGTTAAAGTAAGACATATTTACAGATTATGATTCTCAGATACATTCACCCTCTCGAAGAGATTGGCTAAAAATATCTGAATTTGTTCCCGTTTTCATGCTAAATGCTGGTTCTTGTAACATTGGCCTCTTTATTGTTAAAATAGATTCTCCCAGACACATTCACCAATCCGAACTAGTGAATCCCATCATTTTGTTAGGGTAGCTGTACTACTTTTTTTGCCTACATTTCTATTACCACACTCTAGTTGCTTATTTGCTTGATATCTGGTTTGCCCTCTATAACACTCTTGGGCTAGCTTTATAAATACCATTGGTGGTGAATGCACAGTGAATGCAGGTAAATCCAACCAAAAGCACAGGGCTTTAGCCAGCCTTGATTAATACACTCCATGTCAACATTTTTACCAAAGTAGTCCACACATGATAAGACTGGGTCAACAAGTTACTCTTGCTAATATTTAATAGATCTGTCCCAACGTGCATATAGTCAACCTACATATATTTACTGAGTACAGTGGAATCTCTTGCACAATGACAATGCTTTTTTGCCAGATGGGCTTGTTGTACAATAAGATTTTGCTCTATTGCTAACAAAACAGGAATGGAGTTGTTTGTTCCTCTTGCACCAAAAGCCAGTTGCCAGCAGATTAGCCCCAAAATTAACTTGAATGACTTTTGAGAAACGTGACCTAAAGTGTATGTAAACCCTGACAATGGTCTCCTTTTTTAATGCTCTCTCTTCATCTGCTACATAACCACTGAATGTGTTTTGCTATATCTGTCCAGGGATGACAACACTGCTGCTCCATAGATACAGTATGGTGAGTGAGTGTTGTCACCCAAGGACAGGAAGCGTGATACAAGAAGGAAAACCAGATCAAGATAACTGAAACAAATAGAGAAAAAGACTGGTAGGCTGTACTATAGTACATGTTTGGTTTAGGTATGTTTTAAAGGGCATCTGCGCTAAGAGCAATATGTATTCGGCAACTGGGAACCTTCTTTTAAAAAGGCTAGTTGCCTGGCATTTGGTGAAATTAGAACTCCTTGTGAACTCTCTTTTTCTGGAATTAGTTAGTACTGAAATTATTGCTGTTGATTTACTAAAGGCAAATATGCTGTTTATTTTG